AACTCATTACAAGCCAAATTAGAGAGAGCTGCCGCCATTCCCAAGCAGAAAATCGTGAAGTTGAAGCTTTCAAAAATGTTGTAGCTCTTAAAGCTCTTTTGGAATAATTAAAATTAAACAGAAACATTAACATGAGCCAGTTTTGACATAATTCAGCTTCAATTACAGCTATGAACAAACAAGTTAAGACAAAATGGCGAGAAAGTTACTGCTTTTGGTTGTAGGTAATTTTTTGGCCAAGTGCCAGATTTCCCATGCGCCTATCAACGCTGTTGGTGAAAGTAGAGGTTTGATGAATTCGCAGCATACTTACCTCAATGCAGCTTTTATGCAAGTCGAAATTCATTAAAATCTGAGAAGTTCAAGTACAGAAAGTCTCACATATTGACACTCTTGAGGTGGAAAGACTCATGACTCATTTATATGCATATGGAGTACCTGATCTTATATGAAAGAAATTCAATGCAGGAGTAGAAATCCACATCAGACTTACTTCGATTTGTAGAAAATCACCTGAAAATAGACCATAAAGTGACTCTCACCAGGCACGTACACAAGATGGCGTTGTGGACTCAAGGGAATAACTGAGAAAAGACGAACGGATCACCATGTAAGACAGAATGGTAGAACTGATAAACTCATGAACGCTGTGTGAAATGAAAATAGGGATACATTCCGGCAGTGTTCAAATCGAAAGTAAATTCGAATCATCTGATTCAAATCTGCTTTTGATTGCGAAAACCCGGCACGAAGCGATTCACGGGAGCAGTCAAATGACGTGGCCAAACTTTTTCACGTGAAGTGTCCAGTGTTATCGTGCAACAGCGAACAATGAACACCACTTGTGTTCGCAACACTTTGTTGTCTAAATAAATTAAGTGAATTCCAAGGTTGGTGTTGATAACTAAATTGCCATGTTAGTGTTAAAAAGTGAATTCTGGCACAAGAACTGAAATGAGTTTCTTTGTTTCACTCGCGAACCTGTTTCAAGTTAAAACGAAAACTCTGTGCGAGAAAAGTACGTGAACGAGCGTTTTGGTGGTTCCTGATATCTTATCGTCCAGGAAACTTCAAGTCCCATATCTTATCTCGCGAGTCTGTTTGCCCCGAAATTAAACTTGCATTGAATACGCCTATGATTCTACATGATCATATAAAATATCTAATCCTTTTGAAGCATCCTTTTTCGATGCGCACATTTAACAATGTGGTCAATCTTATTAGGTCATAGGTATTCTTTCTTAGTGGCTTTCCCTTACTTTGGGCAGTGCGAAGTCATTGTCAGGTTAATGTTAGCAACATGAAGGAAGTGGAGATTATTCAATTCACTCTGCAAGGGCCCGTGGAAAATTTTCTCTCTTGATGATCTGAAACGTCCATCAGCGTGTTTTAGTGGATGGTTGCGAGCAAAGTTGAGTTCCATGCATCCATTGAAAATACTAGCTCTCCATTATCGGACAGATAGTTATATTGATGAAATCCCTTATCTCAGGGGTTCTTAGCCTTTTTGTACCTACGGACCCCCCTGATCCTCAAGTATTACCCATGAACCCCCACACCCGGTTATCGGAAACTTTGGAACACCTGGACTTGTAATTATAAATTATTATTTTTTGAATCTACCTTCAATTATATATATAATTTTCCATGGACCCTCCACGGACCACCTGGACCTACCCCACTGACCCCAGGTTAGGAACCCCTGCCTTATCTGCACGATACGAAATGAGAATTATGCTCCGAATCTTGCAAGCCATTCAGGATCTATCAACAAAATAGGTGATCTCTCATGGGGAGACTTGTTAGAATGCAAACATCTGAAGCCATCGAACTTGAATGGCGCTTTCAAAGTCATAGGTCCGTCTTTGATGATTTCAGCTTTATGAATGATGAAGGCTATGCCATCTTCCCCATTGGGGAGCCTCAGAAGCACACTGAAGTACTATCAGATAAGGGTGAAGGAATTTCCCTCCTGCTGTCCCCGAAATAACGTGCCTAGATTCTCCGTTCCAATGACTAACCCTTTCTATGAATAATTAGTACGGAAGTGGTCGGAGATGCATTGAACTCAAGCCAAAACTTGCTTGCACTGAGGTTCTTCATATCCCTTACTGGATGACAGTTCATTCTTTCTATTGGGCTCCTGTTTTCCCTCAAGTCTCTGCTGCTCGTGCTGCGACAAGCTGTGAATGAATTTCGAGTTGTGTCTCCAAATGAAGACGCTACCATGGAAAGGGTTAAAGAACAAGCTGTTTGCTTGCCCTTAATAGTCAAAGCCGTGAGATCTGACAGGTGAAGAAGGTATATTGTGGGTCCCAAGAGTAAATAAGCTTAATTAACACTTCAATTTTTGAGGAACTTCAATATCTGCGCACGAATATTATTCGAACATTTCAGATGTTTCCCCATTTCAGATGCGACACGATCCTCCCGACTTATTTTCTGTGTCGCTTATAGTAAATGAGTCTGATACCTATGTTTGTTGGTCCATAGCGCGGAAAATCAATAAATCCAAAGGTAACTGCTGGTCCAAAAAGAATTCTAATCAGAACCAGCGACGTTCGACCAAGAGACGTTTTCTACAATTGTCTATCCCCTTGATTTTTTCAGAGTTCATGGCCCTGTGATCATTCCATTGGCAAGTTTCATTACCATCCATGGATGGTCACCTAAACATCTGAACGAATTAGTAGACCGTTAAATAGGACGGTGTGAGAGCATATATAATAGCTGCAATGAAATGCCCCGTTCATCCATGCAGAGCGGTCGATAAGACGGGATACATGAAAGCTTCAAAAGTTAGTAGTATGCAATTGCACAACATGGCGCTGAAAGTAATATGAAGCTTAAATGGCTTAAGCTCATGCCAGTATGGATACAGAAAACATTCGTTCAAAGTTATTCCACGGTCTCTCCAGAATTATTGTGGAAAAGCTACATCTTTCACTTCCGGTTTGTTGGGAGTTTCGTCAACTTTGTCATGCAAGCTCACTTGGGGGGATATAGTCACTTCGATTAGGGGTAATATGGACTCTGCTGCGATTTGATCGGTGCACTGCACTGACCTGACAGCAGCATTATTTTCCTATTCAGTGTGGTCGAGGGAAACAAGGGATCATCCAATGCACATTCAAATATGCAGCCGATATCGTCCTGCAACGCCTATTGTACATCTGCTGAACGTACTCCAGATTCGAATAGTGTCGAATATCCCTCGCACTTTGAGTTGAAATGCTTCCTTATTATTATCTGACTTCTTGTAGAAACGCAAACAACGTTTTCCTGTACCATATGACCTCTTACCTCGCACACGAAGCACATGCTCAGTTAGGTTTTGAGGCTGATCACTTCTCTTACTCTCAAGGTCTCTAGATGCAGCCTACCAATCAAGTGCAATGCAACTCAGCCAGCGTCTCACAGCAGGCCCTGGCTTGAGGTCACGGAGTGAGGCATGCTTCTTCTACTTCACATGCGTTTTGGCACCCTTTGAAAAATGAAGCCAATGTCTCTTTATTTGTGGTTTAAGAGCCTCCTCTTTTCCTCAACATGACAATCCATTTTTAGGCTCATTGCATTCATTAACTTACCTTAAATGCAAGCAAAGCAGTTTTCATAAACCAAATATCAAATGAAAACTTCGTGGACATTTTATTTAGACATGTAGTGTATAGGAGTCAAATCATGAGACATTACATAATCAAAGAGGATACACACAAAAGTGCAGTGTCCAATTTTTTTTATTGGAGAGTCATGAAGTCGCTGCTGCCCCGTTTTACTTACCACCGTCCAAGCAACAATGCATAGAACATGAATCCAGGTTCACTATAACCGCGAAGAAATGGTAACAGTGAATGCAGCCCTTCGTCAAAATCACTAATTCATCAGTGACGGTAAAGCAGTCAAGGGCGAAAAACACGATGCCTCCTTTCTATGGGTGTCCTGCATGTAGGACAGGAACGGGAAGCACTCTTCAGCTGTTTGTCGCATCCCTCACAGGTTACCATGTGGCAGCAAGGAAGATAGACGACTGACACTTCCGCGTTCATGCAGACGACACATTGGAATTGAAGAGGGATATCTATGCAAAAGTATAAACATACATATAACTCCCTACTGTTGACAGCATTGAACATTTTATAATAAATAAATAAATGGCACAGAAACACTCTTCTTTCGACTGGTTTGCGACCGATTTATTCGAAAGGAATCAAAACCAAAACACCGCGCTTGGAGCGCGGAGAGTCGCTGCGAGGAAACAGCAGGAAATGTAATCTATAACTGCAAAAGATCTTCATGAATGAATGTCCAATCGACAGAACTGCTAAGTTCGAAATTCACAACGGACACTTGAGTCACGAGTTAATTGTAAACTCTGAAAATTTTCTGTGAAATCAAAGTTCTATCAGGTTGTAAAGGTGAAATTTAGACATTTTCCAGAAAACAATTTATTGACAATTAACTCAACAACGACTAGAGTGCAGTCTTGCGTCAATGTATCTGTTGTAGGTTCACGATAAGCACTCACGCCCACAATGCCCATTGGTCACTCTACTTATACACCTACATAGAAAGTTCTAACATTTTTCAGATTTTTCTAGAAAAAATCGAAATGTCTAAATTTCACCTTTACAACCTGATACAACCTTTCCTCGCATTGCGGTATTATGAGCGAATCAAGCAGTCCTAAGTTCTTGTTTATTATCGGAGCTATCTGGCTAGACTCGATTAAAAAATACTCTCATTGGGCATTTTGTTATATTGCGAGTTCGCAATGCGCCATATTTATGTACCATAATGTGCGATATTCTTGCATATGCAGGGGACTCCTATGATCATCACAGACATAAAGCATTCCGATTTCGACATTGCAATGTGATTTATTAGCTTCAAATAATGGTACGAAAACGCAACAGATTCGGGTCGCAATTCCTTTTTAAAAATGTCAAACATGTGTCTCAATGCGATATAAGGTGAATGAAAGTGGGAATCAATGCTGAAGCTCAGGGTAAATGCAGCAGGTCACCAATGGAATGTATTGAATATTTCTGCAGATCAGACTCACCCAGTTGATGGACTCCTTCTTCTCGAGGCTGTTGTTGTCCTTGAGACCCATTCACCTCATGACCGCCCTGTCTCCTCTGTCGCCTCTTCTCTGAAATTCGGACACGCAAATGTCACGCTGCTCGGCCCTCAAAGAATGTGATAGTAAGTTCTAAGAGATACAATACGGCTTACCCAAGTCTGTCTGAATTTTGTATATTTTCTCTGCCAGCAAGAGAAAATACTCCGCCTATAAAGAAAAACGATGTAGAAACTTCTGTATGAACCGTCCATAAAGGCAAACATAAATTTCGTCATTTCCAATAGAGAGAAGGCGCGAAAGTATTAAGAGACTTTAAATCAGCGAAATACGTGGAATGAAGGGAAAAACGACTTTCATTCAACTCAAGAATATCTGCAAGACCTGTATAAATAGTATATTGCTTTATAATTCCAAAAGATTTGATGTTAGAGCATATAAGACTTCGTGACTGGAGAACTCACTCTTGAGTTGGCCCTCTCATGGGCGTTTCTTTCCACCTTCTGCGCGTAGGTGACTAGAATCTGCATGCGTCTGTCGTGCACCACAATCTGATCTTTGGTGGGGAAGATCGCTCTCAGTCTGAAATAGAAAAACGAACAAGTCATATCGCCGCTTCGCGACGCCTCACCTGAGGATCGAAGCAAAAAAGGACCGAGAAACACATGAGTGGAAAGGCTGAAATGGTTGCTTTCGTCAGTTTTTATGTAATTTTTTTTCATCAGCTAACCGATGAATGATATCATAGACTTGCCAATAAATATCGTGGAATGGATTCCAAAGATCCATTGCACTAAGATATTTAATTGATTCTTTTATCTTTTAAATCCATAATAAATAACTTGATTGCTCGAATATACATGCGATCCCTTATTTTTATATAATATGTATTAATGAATACTCTAGAAGCTCTGAATACTCGAGAAGCGGAATAGGAATGAGGGAATTTTACATATGTTATTACCATGAACAGTAAAGGTAAAGTAAAGTAAAACAGTAAAGCAAAAAGAGGCGAAGGCAAATGATATGAAAATGAAGTTCCGAAGTGCGATGGATTAGAGCAACAAAATTGGAGATCCGAGAAGTGGTTTGGTCACGAATGATATCTAGCCATGAACATAATGAATTTCATTGATAATTATGCCAAAAAGTCATGCCTGTCGGCTGGAACTTATGAATGGAAAAAAAAGACAAAGCGATCTCCATCCTGACGAAAAAATGTATGTTGCTCTGGATATATATCAGCCTCTGGTATATTGGCCTTTAAAAAGTTCATAATACAAGATTTCTATAACTTTTCGAAAATGTGCTTGCTCCAGAAAATCAATAAAACACAAAAATTATTAACTCACACTTTCTTGACGATATGATTCCTGAGTTCAAGGGAAACACTCTCCTGCCATTTCTTTGAACCATGCATGGAAGTAGCTGTGACTTGTGCCAGTCCTATGAAAGTTAAAGTTGGTTCAGCTTGCTGCAGCTGCATTTTAGACTGCACAGGAATTGATAGAATCGGAATCGGATGAACTGTCCTACCATATGGTTGCTCTTGTTGCTGCCGAAAATCGATATGCTCATTTTGGGCCTGAGTCATATCTGTAATTCCAGGAAGCTGCAGGAAATAAGATTGTATGCATCATGCAGTCTTCAGTCAATACCTTCATATCATAGATGCGATTAGGAACACAAATATTTTAGGACAGCGAGTCCACATTCCTCTGACTCACTCTTTGTGCCATATGCCATTGAGGCTCCTGGGATTGTCCAACAGCACCCTGAGTTTCCTGCAGGCCTTGGAATTGCTTCCCACGTTGCTGCATCGACAAAAGTGAGAGATGTGCCGTATTCTCTGAAGCATACATACCCTCAATGTTAAGGCAAGAGACGGACCTGGAATGATGAAATTAGGTACTGGGACGGCTGCTGTTCGACAACAGGTCTCACGCTCCCGGGAAAAGGTAGTCCGATCCCCGTTGATTGAGGGGATGTGGGTCTTTCTTTTGGAAGGGTATCGCTTGCCCTTATGCGCACTTCTTGAGTAGGGCCTTCTTGCGCGTTCCTCACTAGTTCAGCCGTGACTGCGATGTCGTGGGGCTGATTCCATCCATCTGAAGCTCTCAGCGGGAGACAAAGCCAACAGTTGCCATTGTTGCAGTTCTTCCAATGGGAGATGATCATTTGCGAGGAGGCACAATGTGGGAAGGAGCAAGAATTGCCAGTTTGACAATTTCCCATATGTTCTAGCACTTTCTTCATCATATGACAATGCGGCAGCATGCACTGTAAATAGAGATACTTCTAAGATACGAGACAAGATATCCTTGGATGAGAAATTCCTGAAACAGATGCAGATAATTTAACAAGATAATAGCATTTGGGTATCTTCGTTGCTACTGGATAATTGCACTTTTGCATGGGGCAACTTAGCAGGAGGTGCATAATTCACGAATCTTTTTCATTCTGACGGCACGCTACATTTGAGAAATGATTCAATGGAATTGATACAGAAGTTGATTTCACTGTTTCGCTTTCTCACTGACCTGAAACACATCTTCGTTGATCTGGTTCTTTTGTCTTTGGCATTTTAGGGCGCAAAGGATGAGTTCCAATTGCTGTCGAACCAACTTCCGCTTTTCCGGATCAGCACACTGAGGCTGCTTTTCCCTTTGTTCTCGCAGAGATTGCCCAGATTCCATGCACTCAGCGGTGAGTGGTGGCCGCTCATGCATTCTTTGCTCAAGCACCTGGGACTCATCGGCAGGAACTTGTGCTGACATTGTCTGTGAGTACTGCTTCTGTTGCTGCTGTGAGGCAGACGTGGGTGGTTTCCCCGTCGTAGGATTTCCAGCCAAGGGACCGCGATAAAGAGGATTCATGGACGAGATCACTTTCTTAGCATATGGACTGCTCTGTGGATCTTGGACATGGGAGATGAAGTCATGGTTTTTGGGTACTCCTAAATCCATCTCATCATCTAGATCACCTCCAACATCCTGCAGAATGTAAATATTCATGTTTATGGGAAACATGTAGCCCCACCATCCTTACGGTATGTAATGTTTAATGAACGCGTAATAACTGCTGTTGTTCTTTGGAGGAAGTGGGAAAACGGAACATTTTCCGTTGACTCCGCTAAACAGCTCGTTGAGTTGGAATCTCTCGTTAAGTGGACACTTTCACCAGAACTTGAGATGTTACATCAGGACTTGACACCTCATTAAATCAACACTTGCGACATCAAAAAGACACTACTCTGGTTGCCTCAGAGTGCCAAACGCTTTTTTCACGTTCAAAGATAGGAAATGTTGCAGAATGATATACAGTACTGTTCATGCTCCAATGTTCCAGTCTCTATGCTACGGGGCTATAAACTACTATAAACGACTTAATTCAAGAAGAGAGAAAGACAAAACAAAGCATGAAAACAAACTAGTCGTGTGCAAAACCCTTAGGTTTTGCGAACATGCAAGTATTAGAAGCTCCTTTGCTTTTTGGCATCTGTATTAGTAATTTTTCATGACTTTAAAAGACTTAGCATCATACGTGCTGGCTTTGGAGTTTATCAGAAACTCTGTATCCTCGGAATCATAACTTTGAATCGGTTTTAGGATCTCTCAAGAAAGAACCCTCAAGGAATTTTGCCATTTGGTACTATTTCAGAGATATCCAATTATGTCATATCATATCAATACCGTAGCATTAATGAATCCTGCATTATTAGCCCATCTTCAACTATCACATGGAAAATGGGAAAAAAGTAATCTAGTATATCTACTACCTAGAGCGGTATCTGCAGTCCACACAGCTAATGACAAAAAAGAACACTGTGTTCTTTGCCCCATTTAGCGTCCCTACGAAACTGAAAAACAAAAAGAGATTAGATCAGCTGGATCTACATGTTTTTGAGGCACACGGTGGAAACAAACGGTAAATACACGAAACGGCACAACTCGAACCAGTACCTGTCCCATGTTTTGTAGTGGTTGGATGTTGGGTGCTGGAGATTGAGCAACCATGAGAGGTTGCAAGGTAACATTAGGGATAGGAGAGTTTGCATTCAGCCGATCACGAGAAACCATGTCCATGTCTCCCTCAGCCATACTCACGGCCTCTGTATGTCCTCTGACAAGGGACATGGCATTGGGGGATCTGTAACCATGACTAGAGGATCCGGAACTGCCAGAGGTTCCAGATTCCGAGAATTCTATACGTCGCCTCTTTGGTGCCCCTTTCTGTTTGTGTGCTAGTGCTTGATCTTGCTTCAGCTTGCGCTTAATGCTGTTCCAGTGAGACATTCCATACTTTATCTGAAGGGTAAAACAGTTCAGAATGAAAAATTATGAGTGCACGTAGAGGCAAGACGAATCACATCTTGAAAAAAAAGGCATAACAACTTGGAATCACTGACCTGGCAGCCTTCACCATTGGAACAAGAAGGAGTTATCAGCTGTTTGCAGATCTGGCAACCTTTGTTAGTCTCCTTGCACCCCTCGATGTGAGCCAGAGCTCGCCCCATCTTCAGGCACCTTGGAAGGCCACATCGAGATGCATCTTCAAACGATTCCACGCGGTTTTCCATCTGATCTCGACCGGTTTCAGTCATATCTCCTCCAGATGGTCCTTCCTCTGAAAAGAAACCAAACTTCTCATTCCTTTGATCTATTCCTTCCCGTTACAAAATGCTTTTGAATCGTGGTCCTGCAAGACGCGTTATGTAAAGGAACAGTAGTCCCGTAAGATATGGAGACAATGTCATAATGCTCTCTTCATAACCCGATCCAGATCATGTGGAAATAACGCCCATTAGAGATTGGGGACAGGAGGTCTTATTGGGGAATGGTGCAGGTAGTCTATTTCACACAAGAATAAGATGAAAGAAAAAAGATTTCAATATCTGCGACATGAATCTTATTCGATTCTTTTATCCGCACTAAATTTGCGGCACGATCCTTCTGACTTATTACTCATGCCATTAACACCAAATGATCTGATACCTCATGAAGTTTTTAATTTACGCTATGCGATGAACAAGAGCAAACTCGTCGAATTCCCTCGACGGGAGAAGATTGGATCGGATTTTCAGTTTGACTTTAAACGATATTACCCGGCGCTGTGTTCGCGAAGTTCACCTAGATTATAAACTCTCCCATTAAGTTTGCAAAATTTACATGTTTTTACTTGCGGCTATTGTATTTAAAGCAACATATAAATTATTAATCCGCAGCAGACTTACTTGAGTATGGCAGAAAATCTCCTTGAAACGGTCGGGAAAGCGACTCACACTTGGCTTCCTCACGGAATGAAGCTCTGCTCGCAAGAGAATGATTAAAAAACCACGAGGGGATGACGAGGAATGACGAGACTGCTGATAAGCCAACGAATGAACGAGAAGCATCCTCAATAGAGGTGAATTCGGACGGTGTTTTCGTCATCTGATTCGAATCCGATTTCTATTGCGTGACATCCCCTGCGAAGCGATTCATCCGAGCAGCTCACTGACGTTACGCAACGTTTTCCACGTGATGCCCCCAGCGTTATCATTCNCTTTGGTGCCCCTTTCTGTTTGTGTGCTAGTGCTTGATCTTGCTTCAGCTTGCGTTTAATGCTGTTCCAGTGAGACATTCCATACTTTATCTGAAGGGTAAAACAGTTCAGAATGAAAAATTATGAGTGCACGTAGAGGCAAAACGAATCACATCTTGAAAAAAAAGGCATAACAACCTGGAATCACTGACCTGGCATCCTTCACCATTGGAACAAGAAGGAGTTATCAGCTGTTTGCAGATCTGGCAACCTTTGTTAGTCTCCTTGCACCCCTCGATGTGAGCCAGAGCTCGCCCCATCTTCAGGCACCTTGGAAGGCCACATCGAGATGCATCTTCAAACGATTCCACGCGGTTTTCCATCTGATCTCGACCGGTTTCAGTCATATCTCCTCCAGATGGTCCTTCCTCTGAAAAGAATCCAAACTTCTCATTCCTTTGATCTATTCCTTCCCGTTACAAAATGCTTTTGAATCGTGGTCCTGCAAGACGCGTTATGTAAAGGAACAGTAGTCCCGTAAGATATGGAGACAATGTCATAATGCTCTCTTCATAACCCGATCCAGATCATGTGGAAATAACGCCCATTAGAGATTGGGGACAGGAGGTCTTATTGGGGAATGGTGCAGGTAGTCTATTTCACACAAGAATAAGATGAAAGAAAAAAGATTTCAATATCTGCGACATGAATCTTATTCGATTCTTTTATCCGCACTAAATTTGCGGCACGATCCTTCTGACTTATTACTCATGCCATTAACACCAAATGATCTGATACCTCATGAAGTTTTTAATTTACGCTATGCGATGAACAAGAGCAAACTCGTCGAATTCCCTCGACGGGAGAAGATTGGATCGGATTTTCAGTTTGACTTTAAACGATATTACCCGGCGCTGTGTTCGCGAAGTTCACCTAGATTATAAACTCTCCCATTAAGTTTGCAAAATTTACATGTTTTTACTTGCGGCTATTGTATTTAAAGCAACATATAAATTATTAATCCGCAGCAGACTTACTTGAGTATGGCAGAAAATCTCCTTGAAACGGTCGGGAAAGCGACTCACACTTGGCTTCCTCACGGAATGAAGCTCTGCTCGCAAGAGAATGATTAAAAAACCACGAGGGGATGACGAGGAATGACGAGACTGCTGATAAGCCAACGAATGAACGAGAAGCATCCTCAATAGAGGTGAATTCGGACGGTGTTTTCGTCATCTGATTCGAATCCGATTTCTATTGCGTGACATCCCCTGCGAAGCGATTCATCCGAGCAGCTCACTGACGTTACGCAACGTTTTCCACGTGATGCCCCCAGCGTTATCATTCCACGGTGTGCAATAATCCGCAATGAACGGAACATTACCTTCGCCGTGAAGAATTCCAAGAAGAGCTGAGATAACGAAATTGCTGTAATAGTGTGAAAGTGTGAATTCCGGCATGAGGGGTGAGAGGAGTTTCCTTTTTTCTCTCCATGTCAGGTTGTTCCGAGAAACCCTCGGAATCTCAATGTGCGAGAGAAGTACATAAATGAGATTCTTTATGATTGTTGAACTCTTATCGTCCGGGAAACACCGATTCCCCCTATTCAAGTTTTGTTTCCATGCTCGGAATCAATTAATCCTTTTGAGAGTGAACGTTTCTTGTGATCTCTCACACGAATAGGACTTTATGTTTTGTTTGCTTCATGTTATGTTTTATTTTACTCTAGAGAAATTATATTAGCTACTCCTCCGCGAAAAGCAGCCATCCCATTGTTGTATACTCAAGACTTTCCAAAGACTGCTAGAAACAATTACTTTGCCCGTGAGAAAGCAGCAGTATCTATTAACATAGCGATAGATATTCGTAAATTGTACACTCAGTCTTAATGTTCCACTAGGAAGCATAAATATCTCAGCTTCTTCCACGTATTAAAATGCTACAGAAGGGGCAAATATTTACTTCGGGGATTCAGGGGAAATCGATGTTCCTTGGCCATGGCCCCAAAAGGAGGGTTCGAATGTTTCCAAGATCAAGGGTCATGTATGGATGAAAACCTTAGTCATGCATTACTGCTGAATATTTTGAATCTAATCCATCAATAGCGACTTGTCGATGCTTATCTCAACTCGGAGATGACACTCAGGATTTCTCTTACCCTCTCCTATTCAATTGCTTCATGCCAAAAAGGCTTCAGCAAACTTAAACCGGTTAATATATGCATCAGTTTCGCGATGGGCTGAGGAATGCTCTTCATTGAAAATGAAATGGCAAAAGAAGTGGTTTTAAGATCATATCGTAGACGTTTCTGCACTTCTTAATGCAAACGAACAAGTGATGCAGTCCTATAGTTAGAGTGATCCGTGGGTGCGCAAATGCTCACGAGCTCACGGATGATATATAGTATATATAAAACTAAGATGACAACGAAGTGCCTCGTCATTCACATTCACTTCAATCGTAGATGTAAAACATTTATTCCTGCATTTATTTATTCCTTTAGGGATTCATTAATGGGATGGGATGAGTAAAAAACACGAAGAGGAAATAACCCGGAGGATGGGCGTCCATGACTCCCTACCCAAGGTTGCCTCGCGGGTTAACGTCATGGCTCTGCGTACAGATAAGTGCTGATATCCCATCTGACAACCAGATGGGAAATCAGACGACAAGAGAATCATCGCGTGTGAATGAAGTTTATTCTCCAATTGGAGTTATGTCGCAGGTGAGGAGGATGTTCTCAAAATGATGTTACTCCATTTTCAGTTTCATTGATGTTTTTATCAACAGAGCTAAGATGCTCGGAACCAGGGATGCTTACACACAATCAAAAGCAAACTTCCAAAGACCGTGTGAAGTCAAATTATGTCATTTCAAAATCAAAGCCAATGCTTATGATCAACTAAGAATTTCACAAGGTAACACAAGATTGTCAAATCGTGCGCTGCTGCTAAGTACTTCCTTTCATCCAATAAGGAACACGCAGAACATGAACGCCTTGAAAAAAAAATTTGAAACACAGAAGGGAAGAAATCAAGGACGAAACACAAGAAGCCTCTTCTTTATGGGCGTTCTGCATGACGGACAACCAGGAGATACTCTCTTTAGCCGGTTGTTGCATCCCTCACAGGTTACCATGTGGCGGCAAGGTAAATGGACAACTTCCACTTCCTCGTTCATGCAAATCACACATTGGAATCGGGGTGGAATATCTACACAAGAAAAGAAGATACATTATTTAGAATTGTCTTATTGTACCTGAAGAAGAAGCTCTCTTTCAGGGTATCTTTTGCTTATCAATACCGAAAATGTAAAATAAAGCTATTTTGCTAGTCTTGGGTTCTCCTAGAGAAAAATACGAAGAGTGAATGGTTCCAATTGACGATTTCATATTAGAAAGCTTTACAAGCGTTTCTTCCTCAGTTCACAAAATACTATGCAAATTAGAAAATGCATTTGTAAAATTCAGGCTTCCCTGCCTCCTCACTGGTAAATGCCGTTCAAGGGATTCGTTATGATTTCATGATACTACGTTATAGATCAAAGATTGATAGTACTTTTAATTGAACTTGAAATATAGAAATATATTGGCAAAGGTAGTGAGTAAATGACGAGGACATGCCTGTTGATGAACGACCACTTTCACGATGCCAAGCTCCCTTTGATACTTGAGTAGTTGGATCAACTATTTCTGCAGAGGACGGTCCACTTTGTGCTGGCTCTGGTGCACTGGGCCCTTCTGTGGATTGCAATGAAGTAACAGGATCTCTAGGCCTTATCCCTGGTGGGGCCGGTTGTGGGTGCGCTGAAAGTGGATGTGTAGGCAGGCCTCCATGTACCAGCGCTAGGGGTCCTGATGGTCTTCCGTCATATGGTGCCAGTCTTGTTGCAGTAGTGTTTGGAGGTGATGATGCTGGAGATACACCTGTTTATTATTTCGAACCTTAAATGAATCCAATTTGGGCTTATGTTTGCAACTGGTGCTTCCGAGATTTACTTCAGCTCCAGTAATTCACTTTTAAAGGAGATAGGGACAGAAAAGTTTTGCTGTGTCACCCATAAAGTTAATGGTAGGTGCAAGTGTGACGTCATAAGTGTGACGTCATAAGAAGTATGACGCTGAAGTGAAAATTTTCAGAAATTCAATGCCATAAAGTAAGGAATGCTTTTAAAAATCTAATTTATCAATTTTTATTAGGAGAAATCGCTGGGCGGCATACACATCATAGACTCGAAAGTGTATTTGAACTCCTATGATCATCATAGACAGGCCATCCTGGCCTTGATATTGCGATAACTACGTTCGTCATCAGTTACTACTACAGTAACACAGCGAAAACCCCAGAGATTGACGTTACAGCTACTCGTGTTGGTCCGTTGAGAATATGTTAAACCGATTTTGCAGTGGGACACAATGAATAGGTGAGAATCCTCTTGTTGGAATTTTTTGCGAATGCTGAAAATGATAACGATTGTTTTCTGCGGACCGGACTCACCCAGTTGAAGTAGAACTTGCCCCAGAGTCAGCTCATGTTCCCCTTCAGGTGCATGGACACTTGGACCCAAACCCCGTTGCCTCCTCTGCTGCCTCCGCTCCTCTGCAATTCGGAGAGTCCAATGTCACCTGGTTCATCCCTCACAGAATGCAATGTTAAATTCCGGGACATACAATACGGCTCACCTATATCCTTCTGTATCTTGTATAGTTTCTCGGCCACCAAATGATAATACTCCGGCTAAAAAGAAAATTACATGAAAAAATTATGAGCGAAACATCTACTGTGCAAGTTAAGTTTCTCGAAGGACAGTTTTAAATAAATCTGGCATGAATGTACGGTGAACATGTGAATATCAGCGAAAACACTAGGACAGTTTTTCTCAACCGATGTGCCGCGGCACACTAAACACATGGATGTTCTATGGGAGTAAAAGGGAGGTTGAGAACCACTGCACTAGGACAAAAATGGTAGCGATCCATATGACGTTCAAATACGTCCACAATACTTCATACTTTCCCATTCAAGAATAATACATGTTAGTATGCACTCTACTTGTGATTAAAGGACTCACTCGAGAGTTGGCCACCTCATAGATTTCTCTCTCCACCTTCTGAGCATAGGCGACTAGATTGTGCATGCGTTTGTCACCAACCACAGTCGGATCATTGGTGGGGAATATCCCTGTAACCCTGGAATTTACAAATAAGAGTGTCACAACTTAAATGTCTGCTTATTTGAAAACTTTTTCCTTGTTAACCAACCTGGATTGATCAAATATACTCGCCAAAAAATATCCCATTATATGTTCCTAAGACCTGTTATACTAAGCCCGTAATTCATTTATCTCACACAACACTACTTAACCACAATGCTAGAATATAACGGCAATGTCTTCTTTATTCAATCATAGTGAACAGAAAAATGCATTAGGAGTTAAAGTTTAGCAATATTGAAAAGCATGACTGAAGGTGCTAAATAAAATTGTACTGAATGTTGAGACTATAGCAGATGACGGGAGTATGAGATTGCTAATCGGAAGCAATTTTCCATAATGTTGCCACTCTTCGAACTTATGGGAATTGAAAGCCTGAAAAAATATTCGATTCGTTGAAAATCAGAGATAATGTAACAGTAAAACATGCTTTTCATATGATGGCAGAAGGAAACATTTGAATCACATAACTGGTTACACAAGTTTTTATTTGCAATTCATACAATAACACGTTTCGGACATTAAGATGTGCACTCATATGAATGTCAGGGAGAAATTGCAATGAAATCTAATGAAACTTGCGATCGTGACTGTGTGAGTGAGTGACTGGGGTTAATTCAAGTATGCATGACAGAAAACTGAAACTTTAACAAAAAATTCCCTTGGAGCTGATTAATAAAATTTAAAAATCCTCCTCTTGGGTTGCAGCCTCATTTTGTGCGATGAAGAGAGGAGGCGATTATCCTAAAATGTTTTCCACAAAGGGTCGGTTGATGATTGGAGGGTTAACTCCGGGTCAGAATAGCAGGACTAGACGATCCGCGGTTCGATGAATGGTGGGCTAAAGGTAGGTTACACTAAGCTAGGGAACATATCGGGTGCTACATTACCTCCACTCATCGGGTGGTGCTAAGTTGTTCTCTCCATGATTCTATTACGGGAGAACGACACGCTATGCAGTGATCGCGCTAGGCTGTATACTGTCAGGGTTTCTATTGTGGGCCTCTTAGAACTAATTGAAATTACAAAAGGAGATTGGCAAGTGCCTCGTCCCGGAACATCTAGTGATTGCTCCAATCCTTTTACAATGTATGACAGTGAGGAAATTTCACAGCGGTTTCGCTTGTTCAAGCAGATAGTGCTGCATTTAGAGTGTTTTTCACTTGAGTTAGACACTTTTTGACTTGACTTCGACAAGCATGCATGAGGAACGTCCCATGCACGTGTGTCTGGGTCAAGTAAAACATTGTCTAACTCAAATGGAAAGCACCGTACGACAGCATTTGCAACTCCAGGAACCCAAAAAAGCATCGATGAGACTGCCTTACGCCAATGGATGAATGAATCCACCAACGTAAGAAGTAGCTGCTGGTACTGCCATGTTAAGTTCTCACGACGTTTAGACTGAATCGCAGTTTTGGATGGATCAGCAGTATCCATTATTTAGCAACTATCAAAATTCAAGAGCACGAAAGCGTCCGACACAAATGAACCGCAAGGAGTCGCCTGATGTGCAAAACTGGAAAGCGCATGGTCGGTGGGCGAGGATCCCTGGAAAACAGGGTTATGAGATTGCTACGGAGAAGTGGAAGGTGGGGTTTGCTAACTCCGACATAATCTTTGATTCATCAACTGACACGGGAGGATCAGTTAGGCCCAGGACTACTTTACCCTGCAGAGAAGTTAACCCGGGGCTAACTTAGCTCTCCATTCATCAACTGACCCTAAGCAAAATAGTTGGGACAGTCGTGTTACGGAAGGTACTATAAGTATTAAAATTCCGAAGGCATCTCCCAATTCCCCTCAATAAAATGTCCAAGCTGGTGGCGGATTCTGAGGAGTACTGTATGCTGATAACGAAGAGTACTGTATGCAGAAATGAAGTACATTGATGGGCCTAATTTTGACAATTGTGTCTACTATCTACTTTCACGCACTGCCTTGGGCGGGTATTCTTTTTTATGGCGGCAGCGCCTTACACGAAGTTCAGAATTATTCAATTATTCAATAGAAAATTAAGTGAAAATGACTTTCTGAAGTCAAACGGATCAGAGCTATTTTTTTTTAAGATGAAGAGGTTTATGGAAAGTCTTACTCCAGCAATGACTGGAAAATAGTTGATTTTGACAATGATGAATTTCATTGGTAATCATGGCAAAGAGTCATACATGTCAGCACGAGGGAGAAAATTAAACTATCAATAAATTAACGCAACTTTTGTCCGAATCCTTAAGGAAAAGACGGAACATCTCAGTGAAATATAAGAGATCCACACATTTTCCGACTCTTTTACATCATGTATTTCGTCCAGTTTCCTAAAAGTTTGGTTTTTAATCATTGGTTGAGTCTCAACTCACACTTTCTTGACAATATGATTCCTGAGTTCAGGCGTAACACTCTCCTGCCATTCCTTGAAGCCCTGAATGGGAGCAACAGTGGCCTGTGCCATTCCTGCATCAGTTATAGGACCTTGCTGAGGTTGCCGTGGTTGCGTTCCAGGCTGCACACGGGAATATAGAATCTGTCGAAATACCATCATGCTACATTTTGTTCCTCATGGTGTAACTCAATTCGAGGGTCAGTCAATAATTTCCGAGACCCCCTCGTCAAAAAAGTGAATAAAGTCAGCTTAGCTAATACTTCGATTGCGATCCTTCAAAGTACTCTCCGAGGCAATCTACAACTCGCTGCCACCTATGTGGATGGGCTAGAATGCCTCCATCCAGCCCATTTCCTTATATGTCTCTCAGCTTCTCAGAAACGGTCATGTTGACATCCACCATTGCGGATGCCACGAAGCGGTTCTTTCAATTTTGGGAATGGATGGAAGTCTGGGGGAGAGAGGTCTGGTGAATAAGGGTGAGCCAGCAATTCCCAGTTCCATTCAGCTAGTTGCGTAACAATAATACGTGCCCTTTGAGGGCCAGCGCCATCGTGAAGAAGCAGTGGACCTTGCTCGATCAACTTTTGCTGTTTCTTAACTTTAGTCGGCCGCAACCTATGACTCTGAACCCCATCGGTACAGGTCGGCGTTGACAGATTCATTAGGTGGTACAACATAATCCTGCAGCATCTTCTTATGAGGTAGTTCAAAAGCAGCCGGAGCTGATCGAGCAAGGTCCACTGTTTCTTCACGATGATGCTGGCCCTCAAAGGGCACGTATTATTGTTACGCAACTAGCTGAATGGAATTAGGGATTGCTGGCTCACCCTTCTTATTCACCAGACCTCTCTCCCCCAGACTTCTATCTATTCCCAAAACTGAAAGAACCGCTTCGTGGCATCCGCTATGGTGGATGTCAACATGACCGTTTCTGAGAAGCTGAGAGACATATAAGGAAATGGGCTGGATGGAGGCATTCTAGTCCTTCCACATAGGTGGCAGCGAGTTGTAGATTGCCTCGGAGAGTACTTTGAAGGATCACAATCGAACACAATCGTGTTCACAATCGTATTAGCTAAGCGGACTTCATTCACTTTTTTGATGGGGGGGTCTCAGAATTTATAGACTGACCCTCGTACATAGCTGCTCACGTTGTGCCTGTCACAGTCATCATTACAGAGAACACCAGAAAATACGATTGAATTCGTCACTTTGTCCTCAGTCAATATCATAGATACGATGATTTAAAAAAAAATTGTTCCATGAGGACTACGAGATCCTTTCCTTGCAATCACCACTTTTGGAAAATTTTCATGAGGCCGTAAGGATAGTTAAGCAATACTCCCGCGCCGCCTGTCTACGATAGTAAACAGGCGGCGCTTGGTACATATCGGATGGGTATAAAGGGTGCGTGCACGAAAATTCGAATCTGCAAACCATTACAAGTCATGGACGAACCTGGAAAGATGACGCTAGTAACTGGCGTGGTTGCTGCCCAGGAAGAGGGTTCATTTCCTCAAGTTCTGGAGGTCGTAGCTCCACTGCCCGTTGGGGTGAGGGATGTCTAGTTTGGAGGCTATTAGCTAAGTATGGTATCCCAAGTGATTCATTAGCCCTTTTCCATTCTACTAGAGTGGGGCCTTGATGCGTACTTGGCACGTGCTGACTCGTGACCACTGTATTGTTAGACTGATTTTGCTTCTCAGCCGTTCTCAGTGGAAGACATATTGAGCAGTTCGTACTGAAGCAGTTTTTCCAGTGAAATATAAGCTGTCGTGAAGAGGCGCAATGTGGAACGGAGCAAGACTTCCCAGCTTGACAGTTTGCCATGTGTTTTATCACATTCCTCATCGTCAAGCAATGGGGCAGCATGCACTGTGAACATATAGAAATTCATACTGTGTTAATTCAAATACTAGTATAATAAGAGCCATTTCGATGTGTCTGAATAGCTTTTGACCAGTTATAGAGAATGATGATAACGTTGATATACACCTTACTAATTGATAATTAGTGTCCTCGCATAAGCCAGTACTTTCATCAACTTTTGCCGACGTTAATAATGTGCTGGCTATTGATATCACAAGGTAGACCTCTTCAGAAATATTTCCTTCACATTCGTACTAACCGGTCGCAGTTCTCCATTGGCCTGATTCTCCTGTCTCTGGCACTTGTGGGCGTGAATGAGAAGTGCCAACTGCTGTTGAATCAGCTTTCGCTTCTCTGGATCAACACCAGGTGGTGGTTGTTGCTGCGGTTGTCCTTGGTGAGGTTGGCCAGACAGCTGCCCCAGAGCAGTGAATTCAGATTCCCCATTCATCTTCTGCTGGTGCTGCAGAGACTGATTAGCTGGTACTTGTAATTTGACTTTCTCTTGCTTCTGGTTTTTCCCCTATTATCCCGGTTTCCTGAGGTATGATATCGGTGAGACATAGGATGGATCGCTTTGCAGTGTTGCTGGGCCTCAATAAATTTACCTCAGCATCCAAGATGCTGAGGTAAATTATTGTACATGGATTCTCCACAGTTGCTCCACACAGATTCTCCACGCCAATGTTTTACTTAAATATCATCAATACCCTCCACCAAGAAAGTATTATCTTTTTAGCAATACATGATATATAGGTGGCCCCCACCAAACGTTTTGAGATACTTGACAACTAGAAGGCCAATAAGGATGAAATTTTGCATGAATATACATCAGTAATTCATTAGATTAAGTGGTAATTTCTGTAATATTCACCGAGTAGTTTCCATGTAGTAGTGGTTTTCATTTTTCAGAAAGCCAGAAACGGTCAAATTCGGATTTTCGACTGATGATTTTCTGAGACTTCAAGAGGGGCCTAAGTCAGGAACCATCATTCACCAACTAACAGGCAGTTTTTTGGGATTAGCTGCTTCCCGTGCAACTGTCGTTGCTTTGTTGAATTCAAGCGCGGGAGAATGGGCTTTGAAGATCCATGAAATTGAGAATATATTTCTCTGGACGTCACCTTACTAGCGATTACAAAACGTTGCTAAAACTGTTAGGGTAGCAGAATTACATTAACCCCAGCAGTGTTGATTTAAACATACCACGTACTCCACAGCAATGTCGACTTCATCTTAAAAAATCACTGTCTTTTTTAAATTTGAACTTCATACTTGATTACCCATCCGGCACAATGACGTTGCGTCAACGCTTAGCGAGGATTGCTTCTTCAATGGATTGGCAATGTTGCAACAACTTCGCGTAAAAGGTACAATATGAAAAATACCTAACAATACTGATTAATATAATACAGACCTAGAATATTTTTGCAAACCAAGTGCTTCTGCCGTAGGCTGGGATTGTAGACATTAAAGGCGCATTAGGTTACCCATGGTGAATGATCACCAAGTGTTTCTATGCCCCAAGTCGCATCACGTCACAGTGAAATTTTCGACGCAAAAAGCTAAAAATCGTTGTGCTGGTCCTTCAGAGAAGAAAATGTTCGGAACTTAAATATTTGCTGTGACGTCACGTAGCCAGAAGGAATTTGACGTCATGTAAATAATATCAATTTTATTAAATTTCATCATTTTAATTAAATTGTATGAGTGACGAGAGCACAAGTTAACGATACATTAACAATCATCAAATGTACTTCCATCGACAAGTGCCAAGGACTCCAGTGTTTTGGGTTTGTTTCCTAGGCAGGCAAACTATGAGAATATACTGCTGTTTATTTTTCTCATTGCTGAACATCCAGGTACTCCTGAATCTGGAACGTATCCATCAATCTAAGAAAATATTGGGATAAGATTGGTGTGAATCATGCAGTTCTCAGTCAATATCATAGATGTCAAAAATAACGCTTTAATTCCATGAGGACTGGGAATGATATTTTCTCTGACTTTCTCTTCGTTAACGTTCTGCTGAGGTTTTAGGAGTCGTCTAGCAGCACCATGAGCTGACTGCTGACCTTAGAATTGCTTCACCCCATAGCTGCTTCGACGAAGTTAAAAGATTCTTCGCCGTATATGAAGCATGTGAGACCTAAAATGTTACAGACTGATCATGAAACTAGTCGCTGGAACAGATGCTGTTCCTCATGTCTCATCTTTTCAAGATGACAAGATGAGGGGGACTCATCAAGGATCGTGGGACTCTGGGCTTTACTTATCGTAGGATATGCACTACAAGCGCCGTTAAAAGGGAGTCACATTCCTTCTTTATTCTTCTGGATTGGAGGTACTTTATTTTCAAACTCAGACTCTTTCAAACTCTTTCAAACTCAGACACGAAGTAATTCAGGGATATGGCAGTTGTGTTGAGTTATCTCTGTCACATGTATGTATCTGCCATTCCCATAAGTACTGTGGGGAAATGCCAGATATTGTGATCGGTCTGTCACCTTTTTCGTTTTTTCCATTCCATCTGTCGGCCGTATCCACAGATGCCGGGCAACACGACGCGCTGCGTTTGTGTAGCTTTCCGCCTAGGTCGGGTTGCCCGTCCTCAACTAAAACATCTGCTTTCTTTTCCAGCCCTCGCTGACGACGGAACCATAGTAGACAATAGGAGAGAGTGCCTTCTTATGGTTGCGTAGACGGGGTTGCTAGGCGTATGCGTGAAATGCCGCATCTGGCTTCCTACACTTGATACTTTTCCTCTTATCTCTACACGACGCGGACCCGCGAACCATCAAGAAAATGCCTTGTTGTCCCGACATTTTTATATATTGGCCTATGACCTACCAATGACAATTATTATCATATTTATTTCAAGATTGGATGGTGAGGATGCGGCGAAGAAGGTAATTCCAGTTGTATAGGGGTCGGTGGAATGATAGATCTGTACCTGGACTGGTGCTCTAGTTATACATTTTCCGCGTATTGACATCTGGAGTTACATAAATGAAGGCACAGGGTAAATTGGGCAATATGGCCTTTGACAATATTTCCCCAAGGAGTTTGAACGAATTTCGGAAATTAGACAATGGAATATTATATGTTATGGTCGAAACGTTATACACTGTTCATCAATGCAGTGCGTACAGGAAAATGTCAGCCCTTACACTTGCGGTTTGCGGGTAGTGTCGTCAACTTTGTCAACCAACCCAACATGGGGGAATATGGCCACCTCCATTGGAGGTAATATGGATATTGTCTTCATTTCATGGGAGCACTGCACTGACCAATCGGCACAGCCATATTCTATTCCTTGGCGACCCCAGGCATCAAGAGTTCTCTCAACGCTCTACGCAGCAGCCTCTGACATTGTACGTCTTGCGCACACACCCCCCCCCCTCCCCCCTTCCCTACCCACAGGGGTATTCACACCTACGATGTGGACTTTTCTGCGGGGACATGTAAAACTTACCCCCGCAACGGCCGCAAGGAATGTGTGAGCTCGAGAGGGGGAGATAGACACCAGGAGCCGGGCAAAAGAAGGCGCCGCGCATGCGCAGATTGCTTGCGGACATACAGACGCCCGAGCATTATATATATAAGTTAATTTGGGGGAATATGGACCGAAAATTTGAAACTTGGTTCATTGAGGTTGAGTTTGACTTGTACAATGTTTTAAAAATATTGATTGATATCTCCTTTACGAAATCTTTTTTAGCACTTAAAGAAAATGCTTTTTTTTCTATCGCTATGTCATCGAAGTGACAGATGGAGTGCTTATTCCCAGGACGTCCTCCTGAAAATTATATCGACATGTGAACGTGATTTGTGAGCATAACATTTCAAATCTGTTTCATACCTGACTTTGGTCATGTCTCGTATCAGACATGACATTTATACTCCATTATATACTCAAAGTAGGCCTACCAGTTTCAAACGCAAATCACTATTTTTTGGGCATCCGTGGCACTTACATGCATACAAGTTTGGGCTTTAAAAGTTTGGCCTGGTGTTGATGCTTGCATTTACATGGAAACATCAACCCCAAGCCCCAGAGGCACGGGCGGAGCCGTCATAACCCTATCCACGGTCCTGCATGGTCCCAGCTTATTGTCTTTCTACGTTCCTGTTAATAGCCCTCAGAACATCATTGAAGGAATGGCGACACAGTAACGGGAATCAGCGCCAGACTTACTTGAATACTGCAGAAAATCCACGGGGAACAAACTGGGAAGCGAGTCGCGCTTCGTGCCAACGCGAAATGGCGTCTGAACTCTGGGAAACTGCCACGTAGAAGGGATGACAAAGACTGAAGGAATGCCAGCGCTGATCAAGGCCATGCGCTAGGCGTGGCTCCGCGATAGAGTTGCGTTCGGACCATGTTTTTCATACCCGATGCGCTTTCCATCGTTCGCCATCCGAAGGCATCCATCCTTGCAGCCGCTCTTCCATTCATTCGTCGTTGTTCCGTTTCAAAAAGGAATTTCTCGCGTCATCCCGTGAATTCTTCCGAAATGCATTCGCATCACGGGCTCGGAAAACGGCATAATCGCCTGCTGGGAATTTCCCAGGAACAATTTGAATCTGGTATTTCCCTCGCGGAAAGAACTGAAGAAATGGGGGTAAAAATTCATAACTGATACTAATGACCATAGTACTCCAAGAGGGAGATTTAAATATTTCAGCTGGTAATACGTAATAACATTTCCGAGAACATTAATATATATAATAGACGTACAGCTAATCGAGGTTTATAAGTTATAAAAATATCATAGAAAATGTTCCGCCTAGAATTTAAAACTTCCGGAAAAGAATTCATGTTGGACCCATCCATAGTCCACATAGCGTGATCCTTCTCCGCATGAACTCCATTCACCTCATCAAACAGTTATTTAACTCGTCTGCAATTGAAAAATCATAAACGTGTAGACGCTGATTGCCTTGGCGTTTGTCCCTCAAGATCGAGTAACGGATGCGTTCAACGAAATACGACCATCGTTGTGCCCTGAATTAGCACAACTGGACTTGTACTTTCGAAAGCATCATATAGATGGCAGGCGTGCTAGAGACAGTCCGCGAGAACGACCTGTCTTCTCACAGTCGCGTGGAACGTTCGAAATCACACATCGTATGGAAATCCAAGAATTAGAAGCAATTTAACAGTCGATAAGAGCGCGAGCATGAGAAGAGTCAGTTTTTGTTGCTGAAGCAGTCGGTGGCAGGCATCGTGCAGCAATTTTAAGGGTGACCTTTTCTTCAACTAACTGGCGCTTGGAATAATTCGTTTTCTATTGGGAAGTGATTGAACTGAATAAAGGATTGGTCGCGTAAGCACTCCGCAATGATTCTTTGCCACCCCGAAATTGCGTTCGAGTTTTTACAAGAAGTCATTCGGGAAACGGTGTCGCGCATGGATTTCATGGGGCAAAAAAAAAATATCGGTGTGATGAAGCAGGTCGGATTTTTTTAAAGGGACGAACTTCTCTTGCTACTTAAGTTTCTGGTCCATCCACGACCGTTAAATGGGATTTTGAGTTGGGGTGACACCGAATAGAAAACAGATTCACCAAGAAGTTTATTTTGCAAACGTCGCAGGTTGCTCGACGAAGTGCCTTACATCAAGGACCGTTGTGTGAAAAAGCGAAGAATTTCCATACCGATGAAAGTTAACCATGGTAAAATCCAAGGACAGCTCCACTCGAACGATAGTGCCACCTAGAGAGTCTCATCTGAAAAAATCCTTCCTTGCATCTCATCTCATGGCCATAAATGCACCAGCAGCCGTGGGAGACTCCCGCGATCATTTGCCATCGCCCATCTTGATTGCAATATTGTTTTACGGGTGCAATGATATGCAATGATATGCAATATTGTTTTACAGGTGCAATGATATGCAATGATATGCAATATTGTTTTACAGGTGCAATGATATGCAATGATATGCAATATTGTTTTACGGGTGCAATGATATGCAATTTTGTTTTACCTAACCATCTCCATGAGCATCGATGAGAACGTGAGATGAGATGAGCAGTAGATGAGACAGGAGTTGCAATTTTGAATAAGCTTCTTTTTAATTATGTTATTTAAACAGTCGGTGTTATTTAAACTCGTCGCACCGCATCTCTCTCGAGAACAAAGAATATGCAACACTCTCATGCATTGATATCCAAACACTCTCAAACATATCTTTGAATCCTTTGAATCCTTCTTTGATCCTGATTTGAATCCTTTAAAAAAAAATCGGAGGTCCATGTCATCTTTGAAGTTGTTCAATCCATAGG